GACACAGTGAGACTGGGATCAACTGCGGCGGAAAGTGCTGAGAATTGGTGTATCCAGAATCCTCTGGATACTTTCTGCTCCATGCCTCGTTAGGTCCAAGACACATCACACTGTCCCAGCTGACGACCAAGTTGCCGTGCAGAGCTGTAAGCTTTTACGCACCTTAGAAGACCTGCGCAGCAAAGAAGCATGACAGTACTGTTTTTGAGGACGGTTTTGCAGAAGAGCCGACAATGATGGACGTGACAAACTCCGGGGAAGCTGCTGCTGCCTGTTTCGGCGGCTGCTCAACATCCTCCGCATCGCAAAACCCTCCAGGCACGGTACGGCCGAAGAAGACGATAAGTTTGGCCACTTGGATTTTTTGCCTAACGGCAAAATGGGGGCGCGAAGCACTCGCCCGCTATGTCTGTAGCCTCCGAGAAAAAAATTCGCAAGAAGCAGAACAGAGACCTTGCAGTTGCAGAATCAAAATCCATGAAACTCGACGTCTCAGCTGCAGTATAACAAAGTAAACCAAAACCTCTGGTCTCTAGAAGCCGCCAGCGTCAAGCGTCAAACGATTCACGAGTATATAGAAGCCGCAAGGGTCAAACGATTCACAACACTATAGAACCACAAAACCTTCAGAAAACATACAAAAGCAAAATCAAAGACAAACAAAAAGCCAGAAAAGAAGTCAGGAAAAATACAAAAACAACGCAAACCAAATCAAAAACAGTTTTGCACTCAAAAAATATTTCAACAATACAAGCAACTACTACTGCTACTGCTACTGCTACTACCACTGCCACTGCCACTGCCACTGCTACTGCTACTGCTACTGCTATTACTACGACTACTACTCCTACTACTACTACTACTACTACTACTACTACTACTACTACTACTACTACTACTACTACTACTACTACTACTACTACTACTACTGCTACTACTACTACTACTACTCCTACTACTACTACTACTACTACTACTACTCTACTACTATACTACTACTACTACTACTACTACTACTACTACTACTACTACTACTACTACTACTACTACTACTACTACTACTACTACTACTACTACTACTACTACTACTACTACTACTACTACTACTACTACTACTACTACTACTACTACTACTACTACTACTACTACTACTACTACTACTACTACTACTACTACTACTACTACTACTACTACTACTACTACTACTACTACTACTACTACTACTACTACTACTACTACTACTCCATTCCATTCCAAGCGCAGCCGCAGTCCGAGTCCACAGCTTAGCGTACAGCCTAGTGGCAATGCTTGTGCATTGGCGCTTCCTTGAGCGCAAGTTCCACAAGAAACGAGTTCCGCTACGAATAGCCGAGCGAACTCTCGAGTCAGCTCTTCATGTGTACCAAACAACAAGATATGAGGCATGTATGTGGCCGAAGCCCGGCACACCAGTATGTACAATGAGGGGCTACGACACTGTACAATTCACTCACGGTGAAGGACTGTCGTCCTGCGGTCAGTGTAGAGAGGAGCACACTCAAGCATTGCAGTGCAATGCACGGCTTTTTGCACGGGAGTGCAGCAAGCTCACTACCCCATCGTGAGACTGAGATGTAGTCCCCACATCGAATGCATCAGGTGTTATTGATGACATCTTCCCTGCACAGAAGAACAGCATAGCATTGTTGCGACAGTGCGGCATCAAGGCTGATGTGTGCACTGCTTCTGGCCAATCTGGAATCATCCGTGGCCCATTGCGTGACCTGGCCTCCCCTTGCTTCTGATCGTCTGCTGATCAGTCGAGTCGTGTAGTGTCCTGAATGTGGAGAAGCTCCACAGTGAAACAGGAGAGCGCACGTGTGGTAGAGAGCATTGTCACAGGTGATGCCTTGTGCGTGAAAGACTGGGAGGAGAACAGTCGGGTTCATGGTTGTGGGCTTGCTATTCTTAAGGATGGAGGCATGAGTAGGATGTTGGCTGAAGCGCATGAGCCGCAACATGAGGACTTGTGGTGGTTGCTGGAGGGCATGGCTGGCCTGCTGATGCATATGCCAATGTCCTATGAGGCTTTGCAAGTCGGTGAACTCAGGTTTCTGCACAAGGTCAAGGTTGATCATGCACTTCGTGTGATTTCTTTGATGCACTTCATGCTCCCCTTGGAGGTTAAGAGTTCTGGCTTCCCAGTGTCCTTGTACAACTTGGGGCCGTAGGCCGGCCACCATGTGCTCAAGAAACTCAGCGGCATCATGTTGACGATGCACATCCTGCCAGGAAGCAAGGATGGATTTCCACGAGGGGAGAGCATGCACGTGCATAGGTTTGCGGGCAGGTAGCACATCTCGCATGGGTGTTCACCTAGACACGTGCATTTATGTAGGTGCAGCCAGGCAAGCACGCTGGCATTCAGGTAGCACGTATTAGTGCTGTTCAGCAGCTTTAGTAGAAGAGTTCTTGTTGTAGCTTCTGTACCCACTCCGCGGCGGGTGACTGCTTCAAGGACTCCCTGCGTAGCTGCAGCCCTATCAGCTGCAGGGCTGCCGATCCAGATAGGGATTCGAGGCAGCGCCAAACCTCCTGGCTCCCTTCTGTCCTGTTCGAGATCTCCAACTGGAAGGTGGTGATGTTGGACATGTCCGCTGTGAGGGGCCGACGTGAGTGGAATCTGTGGATCATGTGTGGCCTCTAAAGGAGCGTCACCAGTGTCTCCAAGTCTGTCAGCATCCGGTCCTAATGGAGGGCGGTCCGACTCTCGTTCACGACCAGAACCACTTCTGGTACCCAGGTGTGGTTGTGAGGGTCTATCCAGTGGTTCTCTGTGGCTTTCTTCATGAGCCCCGTGGCTTGGGCTGCAGCGGGTTCGACTGCTTTGAGGGTCGCTGCAAGGAGCTGTACTAGGTTGACCATGAGTGCCATGCGTAAGGGGCACGTGACTTGGTTTTGCTGATGCGCCTCCTTCCATGTCTGCGCTGCTTTGAAGAGCATCTTGAGTGCTCCGGTTTCCCCTGGCTGAAGGAAAAGTACCCACGCTGTGTCTTGTTGTAGCACCTTGATGGCTGTCTCCTGCTGCAGGGACAGTTGGCAGAGCGCTTTCACTAGTGGAAGCAAGTGAGGGCCATCCGTGGATTTTCTGCCCTGTTGCCTGGGAGGATTGGCTTGTGCCCCATTGGGCCGCCCATTTCGATCCCCTTTGCCTGCACCTTTGCGCGGTGCCTTGTTCATTCTGGTCTCCTGCACAGGGGCCTCTTGAGCTTCCCTCTTGGGGCCGCCGTTCGTCACCTCCATCTGCAGTGCTGCCAGTTGCTCTTTGAGCACCGGGCCGAAGCACTCCGCTAGCTGTTGTTCCATGCCTAGGTGGTTCAGAGCACTTAGACAGGTGCATAACACAGATCTGCCAAAGTACTGTGCACTTGGCCGGGTGTTGCCGAGCAGCTTTCACGTGAGTGCCGCAATGCTCGCACGGCGCACCAAGGTATTGAATCTTGAGCACAGTTTCGCTGCGTCAGCAAGAAAGGCTGTGTGCAGCGATTCGTGGGATTGTCTGTAATGGTTCTTCATCTTGCTGGCATCAGCAATCCACTGCCTTTCAGAAGGCACAATGATGCTTGAGTACATGTCGGTCCTGAAGGTGGAATGCCGCATTCTCGCGGTATTGCAGCAGCAGGTCACGGACTTTTTGCCTTTGCGCATACGGGAGGGAAGCATCACTGTTTGTCACCGTGTTGACAGCTTCCTGCTGATGCGCCGGCTCCTCAGGCTGTCTCTTTACTTGTCTAGTGGTGTCACTTTCGTGGCATACTGAGACAGTCTGCTGCATCAAGGTCCTGTCCATGGCTGGACATCGCATTTCCTGTATGTGCTTTCGCAGACTAGAGAAGTCACACAGTTTTTTTTGGCAGTGCGCACATGTTGGGAGGCCATTCTGCGCATCTCGCGCTCGTTCGAACAGTATGGGGTGTTGATTAGCGGGTCTGCTGCTGTGCAGCGGGTGAGCCTTGGCCATGTGCAAAAGCATGGCTGTGCGATCGACATACGAAATGCCACACTCAGGACAGGCTACTCCTTTGTGTAGGGGTGTGAGTTCGACTAGCTCTCGCTGCGTAGTACTGATGGAGCCAATGGCGTGCTTCCAGGCTTCAGACCCCGCGCAAAGGAGTCGGTGTGATCCTGTTCCGGCTCAGCAAGCAATTGATTTCGCAACATATCCAAGGGATGGGTGAGACCCCATGTGTGCAGCAGCTGTTCGTGCGTGTGATGTGTGAGATGCACGGGGTCCTTGACTACAATTCTGATCTGCTGCATGAGTTGCGTCGTGAAGCGCTTGCTTCCTGCTGAAGTCAAGCCACATGCGTCTAGGCCATACGCAGAGGCCGTGTACACACATGCCCGCCAGATACCGAGCCTGTTACGAATAGCAGTAAGCTCATTTTTACCTCTGAGAACCTTAGCAAGCCTCCAGAAGTTCTTCCTCCCTATATCAAGTCGGTGCTCAAGCGTTTGGTCTTCAAAGTTGTCGTAGCTAGTAATGGCGCCTAGATAGGGTGAATGATTGCGCAAGTGGAATATCAATTTGGGATCTGGCCCTGCGGATACGGAGCTCCGTGCCATGCTTGGTGCGGACCAGATATTTGCGTCTGATGGTTTCGGCTTGCTTCCCACGACAGGTGAGTATGGCCTTGCTCTTGGATGGGCTCACCGTCATGCCGAGTTGCGTCTGAACATCCATGAGAGCTGCGATGCGAAGCAGTGTCGTATCGAGTTCATGTTCAGTCCGAAAGAAGCCCGAGCCGTGATAATCATCAGCAAAGATGGAGAGAAGTTGTTGCGTCTCCTCGATTCCTATCTTGGTCGCAAGAGCACTACTTATAAGATGGGAGTAAATCAACCATAGGAGGGGCGCCACTGCACATCCCTGACGCACTCCTTGAGTGGCCTGGACAAGGCGCTCCTCACCATCATGGTTGATAGCGTATCTGGCCTGCTGGTGCCATCTTAGAACAATGTCAATAAGCTGATGCGGCAGGCGCATGCCCAGCATGCCTTGGACAAGTTTGTCCCTGGGCATGGCATCGAAGGCGCCCTGCAAGATCTAGCGTGACTTGGACGCCCCGCACGAGGCTGGTCGGCTGCGCGCCCGCGAATCTGTCGCGCAGCGTGCATTTCTGCATCAGGCACTCACTGCGCACAAGACGACAATGCTCAAAGACCCTGCGCAGTGCATCCTTATGCGATCGCTGAGGTGTATATCCATACTGCGGGAACTGTTTAGTAAACCCGTAGATGTAGTCTTGGTACGGGAATAGTAGGCTACGGAAGGTGAGCTTGCCGAGCTGGTCTTGCAATCCGATGGGTCTATGATGCCCTGCTTCGGTGCCCGTGTTTGGTTTCTTGAAAAGTACGAGCTGCGCATCTGACCAGTTCTGCGGCACCTCGTTTTCTCCGTTCTGCCAGTTTTTGTTGATGATGAGACTAGTTGTACGCGCTGCTTCATGTGCACAAAGCCTCCAAATTGCACTAGGTGGATGGCCGTGAGGAACCGCCTTTCTCAGGGGCGCCCTACTCAGCATGTGCTCCAGCGTGTTTGCGTCAACAAGCACCGACTCAGCGCTGCACGTCTGCGGCTGAGTGGCCAAGATTGGCACATCCTCACAGGCAGTGAGTTTTTTGTGAAATAAGCATGAAACTCATCCGCTTCTTCCTGCCTGGTGAGGACCTGACCTTGCGGTCCTCGGAGTTGTGTGCGCTTATATTGCTGCTTTATCGTAAAAATTGGCAAACTCTTCGAAACGTAGAAATGCAAGTATCATTCCCATGAGAATCCTGGTTCTACTTGCACAACAAGAAGCACATGCGAACTCCCATCTTTTTCCAATGAGGTGCAATCTCCCAGCATCTGGAAAACACAATCTCGCTTCGGTCCAACCGAAGTGAGAAGGTTAGGACGAGCACCAAGCTGCCGATCGCCCCAGGCGACTACAACCCCGGGTGGGCGGGCGGGTGAAAAATTTTCAAGCCCCAAGCTTGAGCGACAAACATGCCACACATGTTCACAACTCATGCAACAAGCACTGAGAAGCTGTTACGCATGTTGGCAAGAAAAGTACAAATCCAAAAGATGCAGGTACCAAACCTTGCTCTTACAGACATGTACGTGAACGTGAAAATATAAAGACAACGTTTCTTCTACCCCAGGTAGATAAACGATATAAAGCACTATCGCATTCGCGAAATGGCTCTTATCGTAAATATTGGCAAACTCTTCGAAACATAGAAACGCAAGTATCATTCCCATGAGAATCCCGGTTCTACTTGCACAACAAGAAGCACATGCGAACTCCCATCTTTTTCCAATGAGGTGCAATCTCCCGGCATCTGGAAAACACAATCTCGCTTCGGTCCAACCGAAGTGAGATTATTGTTCAAAGACCGCGCTTGTCTTGCAACGTCGTGCCATGTTTGAGCACTTCAAGTGTGAACACTCTCACATTCAAACATCATGCAGTATGCTCGCATCACTAAGGTCGCACTCGACTCTTTTCACATGATGGGGAAATCAGTACCGAGCACGGCTGGTTGGATCTCAATCCCTCCTGTAAGACAGAAGACTGCTGTCAAGTCTCGAAATGTCCTGTGAGACACAAGGCTCCTTCCCCACTCACCTGAGCCGTGTGTCAAACTCTCAACTGCGAGGCTCTCTTTACAATCGCCGAAACGATCTCGCCTGCCTCGAGTGATTCATTCTTGAATCCTAACTTCCTAACCAAATCAAGTTGCATCCTTGAAGGTTGATCCGCTAAATTCGCGGGCGAAGCAACTCTCGCGTACCACGGCAAAATGCCGTGAACATATTCCAAGAAGTTTGCTTCATCGACCAGCATTCCAGCAACTCCTTTCTTGGCAGATCACGACATGTAAGCATGTCGCGCCGCATCATTGTCGCAGGTAAATGATTACCCAGTTCCAGCAGTCGCTCCATGCCTCGATCTCCGTGGACAGATCGGTGGCAAGGCCCTGATCTACAAGACGGCGGTGCTCTACCTCGAGGTGCCACAAGCCACGTTTGCTCTGAGTGTGATAAGCACGAGTGGAAAGGGATGATTCGAGAAAATATCCCGTGTCAGTGGCCTCGCCAACGATAGATGCTGCCATGATCGTGCAAATCGCAGAGCAAGTGCGTGCGAATTTGAGCATCACGGATCTGGAAAGGATGTTGAATGAAAAGAAAGGCCGGGCGCGGCGTGACAAGTGGCAATGAAAGAAAAGAACAAGTTTCTTCCTTCTTTAGGCGCGGCGCCAGCCGCGGCGGCGACCGCCGCGCATGGCGCCGCGCCTTCAAAGAAGAGCTGCGCCGCCAAGAACAACCTGCCACCTCTGGCGCTGCGTCTGTTTAAGCAAGCACCGCCCACAGTGCCACAGCCAGTACTCGGCGCCTACTCTCTCTAACCTCTAACTTAACCTCTAACCCGACTCGAACACGTTAACAGCAAACGCCCAACCCTACTGCGACCCCCCAGCAACAGAAGAGCATGTAACCTTTTCGCGCACTTCTTGCGAAACAGAAACGCTTCAGCTTGTCACTCATCCTCGAACAAGGCCGACTGCAGGCTACACTCCTCTTTGGAGATGTGCTGATCGCCTTGATCGATGCGCGACTCCTGCTCTGGTTGGGCAGAGGCCTTGAACATGGGCTGGAACACAGACAAAGCAGCCAAAGATGCACTGCCGCTCTCTGTCCTCTCGGCCCGTCGCACAGCCCCGAAAATTTGAAACACATCGAAGCCTGAAAACCAAAACTGCAGCTGGAACAAACGAACTTTCGAGTGCAGCTGCTTCTCTAAAGCATCTGCACCCTCATCAGGAGTTGGCCCCACAGTGTTGAAGGCCTGTCTGCCAACCTTGCGGCGAAAGGAACTGAAGAAGCCATCCATCTTCTGCGTTCCTCCAACCACGTCTTTGGCATCCCATTCGCGTCCATTCCAAAATTTCACGTTGAAATTTTTCGTGAACTTGGGACGCGGGAGCTTGTGGCGAACATTGGTGTGAGCTAGCTTGGCTGAACTGCCGCCCTTGCAAGGCTCCGTCATACAAGGGCTCCTCTGGCTGGTCCAATTGCTTGTACGCCTTTGCTGAATTGGTGTGGCAAATGCTGTCACATTCCAAGCGTGGCTTTCCAGTCGAAGTGACCATGATGGAGAGCAACTCTTCCAAACTGAGAGGGCCTCCACCACCTTGACCACCTGAACTCAAGCGGTAGCGGAGTTTTGCGATTAAATCTTGGAGGAACCACGTCTGACCATGCCGATGAAACGAAGCCAAAGAACTGAAGTGTTCAACCCAGCACTGCAAAAAGCAACCTTGTTAATTTCAACCTCCATGCCGGGCCCGAGGACGGGCCCCCCCCCTTTGGGCAAAGGGGGGGCTTAAGCCCCCCTTTAAGCCCCCCTTTCAGCCCCCCTTAAGCCCCCCTTCAAAGGGGTCCCTGCAAAGGGGGTCCCTTGGGGGGGGGGGGGGGGCAAAGGGTCATAAGCCCCCCCTTAAGCCCCCCCTTAAGCCCCCCCTTAAGCCCCCCCTTTATGAAATTTTACAAGATCAGTGTTCACAGACTGGCTTGATCACACAATCCAGAATACACAAGATGCACAGCAAAGTCACTTGATGCAATCACTCACTCAGCAATCTTGTTTGTGCCGCCTTGAGCCAAAGCACCGAGTCAATGCTCATGTTGAGCATGTCGCTGTGCCAATGCTTCTCTGGAAGCATGCCAATTGTGACCTTATATTCTAACACTTTAAGCCCCCCTTAAGCCCCCCCCTTAAGCCCCCCCTTTAAGCCCCCCTTTAAGCCCCCCTTTAATGAAATGTTCAAAGGTCACTTTCTGTACAATATTAGACTGTATGTAAACTACCAAACACATGACTGTTCAATCAATGGTCTTGACCACACCACAATACAAGCATACAACTGTCAGATGCAATCTCTCGCTCAGCAATCTTTTGTGTCACTTGGGCTGAGCCAATCTTTAGGCACTTGAGCCAGTCTTGAGCCAAAGCATCATGGACATGGCAATGTCCACACGCCAATGTTCTCTGTCAGTGTTGCATGTTGTTCATGCAATGGACAATGTGCATGTGCAGGAAGTAAAGCTCAATCCTAACACCGTCCCTTGAATGAATGCTTCAGCAATCATTCACACTAACAGCTTTACAACATATGACTGTACAACAATTCTTGATGCTGCCGACCTTCTTGGGGGTCAATCTTCATTTTGTTCTAGGGCAGTCATCTGTTACTTGGTAAAACAAAGACAAGGGTCTGGAACTGGCATCTTGTGGCCAATTTCTTGTTCTAGAGTTCCATGACCTTTACAATCGCAAGATCAACAACTGCTTTGAATGAATGACTTAGCAATCATCCAAACACAGCTTACTCGCAGTCAATAGAACCAGAAACTAGAGACCAGTGAATCAGAAAGCGTTTTTCTGCCAACGGGGCTCAATGAGCTCAGTTCTTCTTCACGTCAAGACTGCAATAACTTTTGGTTGCAGTCAACCTATCCGAAGGCATTCTTGGATTTGTCAATCTTTCTGCACCAAAGGCTCGTCGCTTCGTGTGACATTCTGAGAAATGGCTTTGATGTCACAATGAGTAGGCCAATGTGACTCAACATGCTCAATACGGCAGGTCTTGCAACATAGGTGGAGTTGCAATGACTTTCCAGATCCAAGTTCAATACGGTGTCCAACACCATACCGAAGATCTCAATGAAAGCAATCCAATCGCAATCATTCGTCTTCTTCCGGAAACAACGCAAAACATCCCATGAGGCAGTCACTAGCAGACTGCAAACAAAACCAATCACTGTTCGTGCAATTGAAATCTGCAGCATGAGAACAATGACAGAACCAAACTAATTTGGTAAAACCTCAATACTGTGCGAAGAGGTTCAAAAGAAGCAGCTGACCAATGAGCAATGCTGAGACAACGCTGTCACTCAAGTAGGACCAGCCAGGTTGCATCCAACGCAATCCAGAAGATTCCCACGCGCAGGTTTGCAACGGCGATCAATACGCTGCTTTAGAGCAGGGTCAAGGAAGCAATCTCAAATCTGCACTCCGAAAGAATGACCCTTCTCACAACTTGCAGAACCGAGCTATGCCACGTAGAGATAGCAATGCCGGATATATGGCTTCCTGAAACCAGTGTATGTCAACCGCGAAGAAGATATCACCAATCGACTCGGCCTGAAACAAAATGGTAGATAAGCAAAGCAACCAATGAAACCATTCCATCATCCAAAGAACTCTCATGCACTGATACAGTTGCCAATAAAAGTCTGACTCCACGCAAAACTTGAATTCCAATCCTACACAACTATGGGTTGTGAGCTATACAACTTTGGGTTATGAGCCCAATGAGGCGTTCCACCAAGCTCGCGGCTACCAGCGACGCTACCAGCGATATTCGATCTCACTGTGGTCGAATGAATGCAATGACTCGGTTTGCACATAGAAAAAATACGGAAATAAAGAATCACAAATAATAATAATGAGTTCACAAGTGCTGGTAA